ATTTAATTGTGCATAGGGAGGGGGGATATGTGGTAGTGAGGGTCTGGCGCCCGGAAGATATCACGTTGTACAGGAAGACAGGGTCCCCCTCCCGATAGCCAATAGCGTTCAGTGCCCAGGTGATATAAGGCCGTTTCTCCCGCCAATAAACGCCATTTGCCGCCCACCACATTGGTGTCAGCGAGCCAATGGACCGAGCGACCTGGGATTGGTTGCCGTGCCGTTCCCGAACCAGGTCGCCACGCCTACGATAGGCAACAACAGGTTGTTAAACACCATGCTGAGAGCAATGGGTGACAGAACATTTAAGCACTGGGAGAAGCATTTAGCAGGAGCCACCTGGCTGGTCAACACTAGAGGATCAGTCAGTCAAGATGGTCCTACCCAATCCAGCTCCCTACATACTGTAGAGGGAGATAAGATCCCTGTGGTACATGTAGAAAGCATGTTGGGAAAAGTGGTTTGGGTCCTTCCAGCTTCTGGAAAGGGCAAACCTCTCCATGGAACTGTTTTTGCTCAGGGACCAGAGCACACTTGGTGGGTGATGGAGAAAAATGGGGATGTCCAGGGTGTACCACAGGGAAATTTGATGCTGGGGGAGTGATTCCATGTACATGTATGTATATAGATATGTGCATATGTAATGCATGTTAATTATTGTTTGTTCGTATATAGATATATGTTAAGTATGATGTGGTGATGTGGAATAAGGGGTGGAAATGTTGTGGTTCTGTGATTTTTTGTTGTCAGTATTCCACATCAGGACATCAAGTGAACCAGTGGGAGTTAAAGAGTTCATGTTCTGGTTCTGCTTACTGCCTCTTATGGGCATTTTGAGTATTCTGATGGAAGGGAAAGGGCAGCATTCCGGGAGGACTTGGTGTGAAGAGGAAGTGAGGTGGAGTCTGGACAGGACCCTGCCGTCTCTCCGTCTGGGCCCGCTCAGCTCACAGCAAAGGCCACGTGCTTCCCTTGCACTGTCGTGGTGACTCGCACTTTGGGCGCTCTGATATCTCTCTCTCATTTTGTTTGATTTGGTTAAATTTAGTAAATTACTGCTCCTCCTCAGATCGTTGCCGGTGTGTTCCTTTTGTTAAACCCATCTACTAACTCTCTGCCTTGCTGTGGGGCTGGAGTCTCCCAGATCACGCAGCAAACCATTATTACCCCTTTCTTTTTTTTCTTAGCACTTTTGTCTCTCCTTTTTTTTCACAGGTCTGTGCCCCCCCCTTGTCACAGACTCAGATAACTTCGGGACAGGGTCCAGGATGGTCATGAGCCAGCAGTGTGCCCTTGTGCCCAAGAAGGCCAATGAGATCCTGGGGTGCATTAAAAGAAGCACGGCCAGCAGGGCGAGGGAGGCAATCCTCGCAGCCCACAACACACCAGCAGCGAGATTCATGTGTTCATGGAATACAGGAGGTACCATTGGTCCCTCAGCCTGGCCCAGGCCTGGCAGCAAAGTGGCACAAATCCCTGAAATCCTGCAGGGCAATGGGAAGGAGGGCTGAGTCCCTTGGTGTCCCTGCTCCCAGCTGGCACCTGGCCCTCTTCCCATATCCTTCACTTCCTTCATGTGCCACATTCAGGGATCTCCCCAAAATTCACGCCTCTGGGGACTTGAGGAGTGCTCAGATCACAGCAGTGGGGGCCCCATGATTGACCTCATCCCCACCCTGCTACCACTAGAGCTGCTTTAGGATGGGTCATCCCCCCATGGGTGCTGCTCCATCTACCAGGGCGCTCCTGCACTCCCAGGAGCACGAGGGCATTTCTCAGCAGCTGCTGCCCATCTCTGTCCCTGACACTGTCCCACCACAGCCAGACCACATCGCTGGCAGTGAGATGGGGACGAACACACGGTACAACACGGCAGGCTCACACTTTGATGCTGTATTCAAACTGAGATGAGCAGCACACATGGGTCTGCAGTGCCATTAGAAGGAAAAGCAACTGTCTGTTTTGTGAGGCAACATTGCAGTGTGCCTACCAGGGAAAGGCAGCACAGCACAGCTCTGCTGGCTAATGCACAAAGCGGTGGTACAGCCGGATAACGCTCTGCCAGCCCCGCGAGAGCACACGGCGCAGGGTGCGCCCGAGGACCAGCAGTGCTGCAAGGACGCAGCGGCAGCAGAAGCACACGCGCCACGCACACCGCGTGCCGCGCAGCCACTGCACGGCCGGGATGAACCGCAGCCGCTCCAGAAGCCGCGTGTGCCACCGCCCCTGCAGCCGCCGCTCCACGTCCTCGGCCAGGAGATCGCATTTCTTCTCGAAGTCGACGTCCGAGCGCTCCAGGAGCCGCGCGGCGCGGTCGTAGAGCTCGTTCCGGTAGTGGGCGCTCAGGTCTCCCCCCAGCACTCGCACCACGGTCTCCAGCAGCTCCCCGACCCGCTCCTCCACCGCCGCCCCGGCCGCCCGATTGTCGAAGGCGCAGCACCGTCCCCCGCAGTCCCGCAGCAGCTCCCGCAGCGCGGCGGTGCCGGTGTCCTCCACGTGCCGCCGCAGGGAGCCGCCCCTCAGCTCGTCCCCGCGCGTGAAGACCACGACGGTGCGCTCGGCGGCGCCGCGCCCGAACAGCCGCCACACTTGCCGGACGGCCGCCTCGTCCTCCTGCGTGAAGCGGCCCAACTGCGTTACCAGCAGCAGAGCGTGCGGCCCCGGCGCCGACAGCAGCGCGCAGCGGGCGATCTCGCGGCGGCACTGCGCGCTGCGCTCCGGCGAGTCGAAGGCGTCGGGCGTGTCCACCACGTGCACGCCGTATCCCCTCCACGAGCCGCTCTGCCGCTCGCTCCTCTGCGTCACCGCGCGCGTGGACAGCCGCGACTCGAAGGCCGCCCGCCCCAGGATGCTGTTCCCGGTCGCGCTCCTGCCGCCGCCGCTCTTCCCGACGAGCAGCAGCCGCAGCTCCGGCGGCCCTCCGTTGTCCCGCGCCCCGCGGCCCTTCGGCAGCAACGGCGGCGGGAGGGGCTCTGCGGGGGAGCGACGAGGCGTGAGGCGTCGTCCGGGGGGCACCCGCAGCCCCCCGGGGCCGCCCGCCCCGCGCCGCGCTCCCGCGGACCCCGTCCCGTTCCGGACACCGCCCGCCCCTCCGCCCCGCGCTCCTCACCGGGCCACGCGCGGTCGTCCCGATGCGGGTCGCTCCGCATCGCTGCTCCGCGCGGGACGGCCGAGGCCGGGCTGTGCCGGGGCTGCACGGGGACGGAGAGGGCGACCGCGGGCACGCAGCGATGGGATCGGGCACCGTTCGCCCGCGGGAAGCGGCGCCAATCGCTCCGACCCCTTCTGACAAAAGCGGCTCTCCGGAGGATCCCGCACGGCCGTTCCGCCTCAGCCGAGCTGCCCCGCGCCTTATCCCGCTCCCCGTGGCTCCGGGAGCGCAGAAGGTGCCGGAGCCCGGCCGGCTTTTATGAGGGGCCGCGGGGGCGGGGCACGACGGGCCGTGCGGGGGCAGCCGGGGGTTGCCTGTCGCTCCGCGGGGAGGGGCGCCCCGCCGGTAGGCGGGCCGAAGGTCGCGCAGACCGTAAACGCCTTTTCCCGTCAACGGGCCCGTTTCCCATCAACGCGCCCGGTTCCCTCCGCGCCGTCCAGGGCACCGGAACCGCGCGGTGCCGCCGCCGCCCCGAGCACGAACGGACGCGCCACCCCCCGCTCCCGCAGCGCCGCGTCTCTCCCGGCCAAGCTCCTCAGAGCCGCGCGGCCCCGGGGGTCGCCGCCCTCCCTGCCGGCCCCGCCCGCGCCCCGCACCCGGGCCGAGCTCCCGGCGGCTCCGGGGTGGCCGGGCGCTTCCCGACCCGCCGCGCCGCGCCGCGCTCCGCTGGGGGCTGCCGGCCCGACGGGGAGCGGGGCGGCGGACGGCCGCGGGCACGGAGCGGCGCGCGGGGCGCTGCCGGCACCGGGGCTGCTCGCGGGGCGGCTCCGAGTCGCGGCGGCTCCTCGGTGCCCGCACTCAACCGGCGGCGTTCGGCCCCACCCGCAGCAGCGCAGCCGTCGCGGTTTCGTGGTTTTTTCGTCGTTATTCCACATTCGCTGCGTCGTGCAGCGATGGGAGTTGAAGAGTCCATGCGGCGGCTCCAAAGAATGATCTACAACTCCCAGAAAGGCACAGCGCTCCCAGAACACTTTATTTTGTTATTTCCATCTTCCAGGGGGGAGTCAATGATAACAGAACTGAAAACTCACGGCAGCGCTCTCCTTTGCTCCCTGTGTGTCACAGCTGCTGCAGCATCAGCACAAGAGCTTTGGGTTTTAGATACTCTCGTTTATTTATTAGCTTCAATTCCAATTAAATTTCACAATACAATTAGAAAACTAAGTATTTTTTTCCTTAGCTCATTGCCACCGCTTCCCTTGTCTGGATCCATCTTCCTTCCCTCCCAACCCCCCTTTTTGGGCATGGACCTGTGATTAGATCTTAATTATGGCAAACACAACCACCCCCACTTCTGCCGGGGCCCCTCGCGCTTCCTGCATGCGATGCTCACAGCCTTCTCCAGCACCTCATCAGCCTGCACATCCCGGTCCTGCCTCGGCGCTCTGTTGCTCACAGCGCAGTACTGCTTCCCGCACGCCTTCACCAGCTTCCGCAGCGCTCCATTGTCGGTCATCTTCACGTACTCATCCAGCGAGCCGCCCCCCAGGTCTTCCTTCCGTGTGAACACCACCATCATGCGCTTCTTAGCGCCCTTCCCAAAGAGCTTCTGCACGCTCTTCTGCACCTCCCGGTCCTCCCGTGTGTAACGGCCCAGCTGTGTCACCAGCACCAGCACGCAGGGCTCACGGGCAGCGAATCTGAGGCAGCGCTTGCACTCCTCGACCAACCGCTGCTCGTCCCACTGTGAGCCCCCGAAAATCGCCGGGGTGTCCATGACCACCACGC